CCAATGACAGCAATGATCAGAAACCTTGGAAAGATGCAGTCTATAAATGCACTAACCGAGTAAGTGTTGAATAATAGCTAGGTTCTTCCATCCTACATTGATTCATTGCAGCGAGTATCGTGATGCTGTTATTAGTAAAATTACAAATGAAAACGAACTCAAACGTGCAAGGATCCATCCTATACAGGTGAGCTACCTTTTCTCGGAACCATTGATTGAAGCCTTGATTAGTATTCTTTGCTGAACTATGTGCGGGGGGAGGAAAGGGGAGCACCATGACTGTGTATATGTTTGCATTCCAACCTTATTCATATATCATACTCCTTTGCTTTTGCTCACATTCTCAGCTTAATTTATAATAGGATATGTTAAGGTCCTTCTTGCGAAGTCGGTTTACCACGCAGGTCATGGAGATAAAGGCAAGCTGCAATGGGATGTCGACGAAAAGGTATAAACAATTTCCCAGATGATCTGGAATTACATAGAGACTTTTAATTGTCCCTTAAATCCTCTTTGAACTATAACGAAAAAAATTCATGAAGTTTTTGATTTCTCAATGCCAATTCTCTGTCTATTGATGTTTTGCAGATTGACAAGGCACTCGAGGATGCGTTCTACAAATCTTTCATTAATGCTCCGCCCACCAACAAGCGTTTCTGCTTTGCTTTTGATGTTTCCGGTACTTCTTTATTGTTTTCTTTTCGACAATTGATAAAATCACTTTTTCTCAATTTTAGGAAGTATGTGTTGCTCCATATCTGGCACAATGCTGTCCTGTCGAACGGCTAGTGCAGCTCTGTCTTTAGTGAGCTTGAAGAACGAGAAGGAAGTTAGTGAACATACTCTTGTGGAGGTTATTTTCCTTAATCTTCCATTCAGGTTGAATGTGTTGGTTTCTGCGATAAGCTCACAGAGCTGCCATTCCGCGGCGATTGGACAATAGACAAAATTGAGACTTATATGGATGGTATGGAGGTGGGTATTGTTTAGCTTGATGGATCTTGAAGAATTTCAAGGTTGCCTTCAATCACTATTACTTGTGTGTCTACGTCATGTTCTAAATTTAGTTTGGTGCGACTGACTGTGCATTACCAATGCTTTGGGCTAAGGAGCACAACAAGAAGTTCGACGTATTTGTGGTGTACACCGATTGTGAAACCTTCTTCGGAGATGTATGTTGCTACTATGCACTTCTTTCTTTAACCTTTTTTTTTTCCTTTTTTTTCTCGTATTATAACCTTTCTAGGTCCATCCATTTATGGCTCTACGCCAATATCGTGAAGCATCTGGTATTACCGACGCAAAACTTGTCGTTATGGGAATGACTTCTACAGGCTTTACTATTGCTGATCCTGATGACGCTGGAATGATGGACATCGTAGGTTTTGACTCTGCAGTTCCTACTCTGCTTGCCGACTTTGTCAATGGAAAAGTTTGAATGTTTTTTCAATCGTTAGACCCGTTAATTGTACATATTCGCTATATACCGGTTGACGTACTATGTGATCATTGTTTATTTTTTTTGTAAATTTTTTGTTATTTTGTTGATCCAATAGTGTTGTTACCCACTGCTTATAGAATTGTTACATGAATGAAGCATCCCAGAACAACGCATGTTTTACTTTTAAAATATCATTGTGTCATCTAACTGTTATGTATCATTCCTAATCTTATAAAATGTTGCAGTTCACCGCTGTGTAGTTGTTGATTGAGTTAGAAAATGGTTTTTATTCTTGAATCCAGTAAAGTTTTGGATTCGCTACAGAAAGTTGGGAATATACCAAGATGAAAGATAGCTGCCAATAAGTGCGCACTGCGCAAATTGTTAATCATACCTATACCCCTACCACCACGCCCCTTCCAAGACTAGCTGCAGTAAAGTCACCGGAGTAGGGACTGTTACTTATTACCGGACTGATTACGAATACTGCATCTTTTTCGTGTAAACAGTTTGAATGACAATGTACCTACTGCACTTTCCTTTCCTTTCTGTGTTTCTAGATAAAAGTGGGGCAGTAAGAATTTTTTTGGATCATAAATAAACCTTGATAGTCATTATATTGCTTCAAAGAATATAATTTCATAACTAAGTTAGCGACCTCCATGTTTTTATGCTAAAGCTTTCTCTTTCATTATTCATGTAATTTGAAAAACCACGACCTTAGCATTTGGCATCGTCTAAGTTTTTACATTGTTTAGACATGTGTGACATGTACCATGTCCCAATGTATAACGCCACAAGCATAATGGACAAATTTAGAACATGACATCGTTTCTTATGTAGGAAGATGAAAGCTGCGACAGATGCTTGAGCAAGTAGGTTAAACCCAGTGTAACTGTTTTAAGCAATAGGCTAAGATTTTAACTATCCTTTATTGGCAACTCGGTGGTTTCGCCTTCGTCAGAGCCTGGAAAGTCGATTACATAGGCGACCTGTTCTCTCAGACGCCAACAAAAGGCTCAGGATAACATTCAATTAGGAGAAAATTAAAAAATCACCAGAGTACGATAGCAATACTCACCCTAGATGACAGCAAAGGGCTGAAGAAACAGGCCACCTATTAACAAAACTGCGCCTCAAAGCTCTTTTATATGTGCCGAGGTGGCCTGACCTCATGTTCAAATCCACAAAGGGATTGATAAGGCCAGCTCTTAAGTGATAGCGATGCTCCTCCTTCCTGTTCATTTCTGGACTTTTGGCGTTAATCCAAAACGCTTCCAATGTTTTGCGCGCTGGGATTTCGGGCTTGTACGACAAGATTTTCACCATTTGTATCTCAGCGTTGTTGTGTTGAACTAGACGATGTGAACCCAGCAGTGTAGGATTTTGACTTTTTCAACCCATCTAGATGTTCCTTAATGCGAGCACAGAGAGGGCGCCCGATGTCGCCTATGTAGGTATCTCCACATGATAAGCACGTGATAAGATAAATAACACCGGTTACCATACATTTACCCTCTCTACCATGAGGGCAGAATACACAACCTGAAGTCAAACAGGTGCAATCGTACGCGCGATTGCGAACTAGCTAGGTTAAATCTTTTCTCAGTTGATTGATCAATATGGCAGAAATTAAAGTAATTTACGTGCGATAAGACGAACACCGGCCCTTCTAGGTGAACGGGGGTCACAACAAACTTTCACCTTTCTAGGTGAAGGGGTCACCGGGGGAGGGGGAGAAGGGGAAGCAAATTCTGATACTATTAAAGTTTCTATGCAATGTTTGTTTAATTAATCCATTAAGAAATAAGAGATTTGTTAAATAAGATTTAATATGATCTTTATGCCTTTGCAGGTCCTTTGCCGAATATAGGGACAGAAGATTGCGAATGATGATGATAGATACATTAAACACTATTTCCATTATAACAATATAATTATGAAAATAAATAGTGAATTAAGCTTTACAGGAGAATTGTGCTAAAGAAATGATTTTCACTTTGGGTCATTTTTCTTGGATTGGAATCGTTCTATCATAGCTGTCGTCAGTTGCGAGAGTATAGACTAGAAGGACTCCTTTGAATGATATATAAAACATAGGGTTTCATTTCAATTTGTCAAAAAATACCTAGAATAGTTTAAGCCAACCTCGCCACTGAGTTGCGTTGCTCATCAGATTCCTCTGGGTGTATGTCAAGAATAACGATAGCTGGCAGCAATCGGCCGCCATATGCTCTGTCAATTACCTGCACGCGGAAAACCCCGGACTTGCGCAGTACACATGTACGCGGCAGCTACAGTAACTAGTGCAATTACCTTCGTCCATAACAACTCCTTTCTCAAATGGAACATTAGTGTTGTGATGCGTTGTCAAACTTATGTGAATAGAAACAAGCAAATTTCTAGTGTTAAATCTTAATCAATGTATTCATTCTCAGAATGTTCCGGTAGTATTGTCATATCTGTACTCTTTCTTAGAAAGTCACATTGGTGGAAGTGATATTTTTGTTAACCTTTTTGAAATTACTACTAGTTTTGGAAAGCTTATTCGTTTATATAAGTAGCAAATAGTAAACTTGCAAAAGTGATGAAGTCAGTCATGCGTGTTCAGATCAAACCAAAGTCAGTGTTTAGGCGGTTTGTGACGCTTGTCTAATAACATTCAGGATCAGATTCGTCTCAGAAGTTTTCGGTGACTAGTTCCTATTAATTCTTGGATAGCAATGGTTGAATAGATAAAAGGTTAACCTAACACATCAGGGAAGGATCTAGGAACTTTGTTCGCACTTCAAAATCGCCCTGAGGGCTGAACGAGGCCAAGATTTACCTCTGGATGAATACATCTAAATTCCTAGGCCGTCATTCTCTTGACAACAGTTCAAACAGGCAAATGTCAATACGATTTTCTGAATATGCACAGATATCCAATTTCATCGTCGGCATTGTATTTTATGACTTAGTTGGTGAATTTTTCATGATTTTCAGCACTTGTTACTTCATAATGACGTAGAAATTATTGAGCGTCGGTTGAAAATATTGACTTTATCAACAATCAAATCTAATCGAACAGATGAACTTTTAAAAATTTATTCGTAATAATCTGTTTTTTTTCTCTTTTTTTTCTTTCTTGAACAATGCGGAAGCTTTCTTCTTCTCATATTTGTTTATTTTCTGAACCTAAACCTCCGCATGTTGACCGCGACATATTTGGGTTGAGCGGAGCGTCTCACGTGCTCTTTCGTAACAGGCAGCACGTTGCGCGGGCGTACGCTCGTACGTAAAGCGAGGCTATTTGCAAGCTGCTCGGTGCTGGCAGCGGCGGCTGATGCAAGCTATCGTTATTCTTGACCGCCACCTACTTCCTCTATAGGCAGCTACTATGAAAACGGGTTGATTTGCGAGGACATTAGCATTATTGAGGCAATCTCCCTCAATAACACAGCAAAACTCAAGAGGGATTCGATTTGAATGGAAAAAGACCCTGGCTCCCAATCGCATCACCCTGTTTGCTATGTTATTGAAGGAGGTTGACAATATATCCTTGCAGTTGACGACAGCTACAGCGTACGATTCCAATTTTAAAAAAA